GGGACTCGATCCCGGGACTCCAGGATCATGACCTGAGCCGAAAGCAGTCGCTTAACCAACTGAGCCACCCAGGCGCCCCAGCCTTACAAATTTTAAATGGGCATTTCTTTTCCCTGATCTTCAACACAACAGTAAAATGACCCAAGTATATTAACAAAAAGGTCAAGTATACAAAGATTACAAATGTGCCCAATAGGGGCGTCTGGGTGGCTCAGATGGTTAAGCGTCTGCCTTCGACTCAGGTCATGATCCCAGGGTCCTGGGATCGAGTCCCGTATCGGGCTCCCTGCTAGGTGGGGAGCCGGCTTCTCCCTCTGCCTCTGCCTCTCTCTCTGACTCTCATGAATAAATAAATAAAATATTAAAACAACTACAACAAAAGAAAAACAACAAAAACCCCCACAAATGTGCCCAATAAACCTAAGAAAAGATACTGAACTTGTGAAGAATGATCAATGAAATGCAAGTTAAAACAACTTTATACCTATCAGACTGGTCAAACTGGAGACACCATGTCTAGTTACTTGTACCATCATAATAGTCCTTCACTCTGTCTCTATCTCTCCTTTCTCCCCTAATTCATTAGCCCCTAGTTGGTCTTCCTACTTTCCCTCTTGCCCAGGATGCTTACTTAAATACACAGTCTGACAACTCCCTTGCTCTCATGGCTTTTATGTTGATACCCCCAAATTCTTTTTTTTTAAGATTATATTTATTTATTTGACAGAGAGAGACACAGTGAGAGAGGGAACACAAGGAGGGGGAGTGGGAGAGGGAGAAGCAGGCTCTCCGCTGAGCAATAACTCTCCCTTAAGAGATACAATGAAGAAAACGGCGTTTCATCAATCTCTTACTTATCTTGTAATGACAAGTTTATTGCACATTAGTATTGGGCCTAGTTTCCCAGCCCTAACAGATACCTAAGAGTAGATTTAACAGAGCAGAAGTAGGGCGCCTGGGTGGCTCAGTTGGTTAAGCGACTACCTTCGGCTCAGGTCATGATCCCAGAGTCCTGGGATTGAGTCCCACATCAGGCTCCCCTTGCTCTGCAGGGAGCCTGCTTCTCCCTCTGCCTCTGCCTGCCATTCCCCCTGCTTGTGCTCTCCCTCTCTGTCAAATAAATAAATAAAATCTAAAAAAAAACAAAAACAAAATAGAGCAGAAGTATTTGAGATAGCATCTTTAACTGTATGAAAAATACAAACCTTAAAACCCCAAACCCCTGCCCTGCATGGCTCTGGAGCACTGAAAACTGGAAAATCATTTGTCTCAACTTTTTTAAGAGTCGGCTCTATACAGTTCCACCCTGTACAGAAATGTAGTAGCAAAGAAAATGTGTATCGAGTTAGGGTCAAAACAAGGAATGAGGCCTTATCAGGAAGATCCTTTATTCATCTACACAGATAAAATTTTGCTCCAAATGTCTGTACATGTGAAATGTATCAGAGAGCTGTTTACTTGGCAGTTATGGTGTGAGGGAGCCTAGAAGCTCCATATTAAAAATTATGCTACTGGTTATGTGAACAATAGAAGATACTCAAGTGGTAGAAATGTAGTAAAATCTAGCTTTAATTTGTTAGGCAACATTTTACCAATACTGCAAGAGGCTGTTCTGTAAAAATAAGAAAGAAAGACATATACGGAGAAGAAGAAATTCTACACTTGATTATGTTAACTGGTAGACCCAGGAGTAAGGGATATAGATTTGTCAGAGTGAAATAAACTCAGGGATTATAATAAAATTAAAACTGAACTGCAGAAGAAGCTAAACACAGAGCTGGGGAATCCATTTGTAAATACCACTGGCAAATGATCAGTTTTGGTTTGTTACAGAAGACACGAAACATCAGTGCACCTGGTTAATTAGTTCTTTTTACATTAAATATGTAGTAAAATCAGGATTACTCACGTGATATCCCTTCGTTGATAGCAGCCCTGAAGCAGGCAGGCAATCAGGTCACTGATAAACTCTACATCATCTCTGTGAAGAGCTGCTTCTAACTCCTGAGGAGGAGGAGGAGGAGAGAGAGATTGAGATCAAACACAGAGATTTCTTAAAATCCACCTGTCCCAGCTTCCTATCACCCACACCATCAACATCACTCTCCAAGCCACTACAGGGTCAGTGTAGCCAAATTGCCTGCCATGGATAAACTATGCCTTTCCTCCCACAGTTACTGCTAGAAGAACGAGTTCAACTTTTTGTTTTTCCATGGGGTTTATTTCTCCCATTGCTCCATTCCACTTTTCTGCACACCAGAAGAAACACACGTATATCTCTTTTTATAAGTCAATGCTAGCTACGTAATTATCAAAGAGCTTAAGTTATTCAAATATGCTATAATGCCTTCTACTTTCATGGTAAGAGAATAAAGTAGCAAATACATAATTATGTATTATGTATACTTCATTCCCCTAACAGTTCTAACAGGTAAACCAACTGCAATTGTTTTAAAGAACCACTATTATTTATCGAAAAAAAGCACTGGTAGTGAGCAATATAGCTAGCAATTCTTATTTTGAGGCTGCTACAACCTAAGTGACTAATGATGGGAGATTGCTAGAACTGAGAATAATCTTACATCATCTAGAGAGATGTGAGGTAATGTCTATGTTAATGGTTTAATCCTAGGTGAGATGTATTTGCTTTCCTTGGGATTCAAGCAGACAATGCCAAAGATTTAGCTTGTCTTAGCACAATATTCTGAACAAAGCTAAGCTGAGAAGGAGCTATTGGGATAAAAAGTGACAGTGGGAAATTTTAGGAGATCTTATTTCTCTTTTCAATCTCCCATTCTAAACCAGTATTTTCTAAGATGATGGAATCTGTTCTAAGTCATCAACTCTTGGGATACAAAGTTTGCCCACACTGTTTCAACCAGGATGCAAGCCATTTTCCAAGGGTCTACTCTGCTTATGGTTTGACTGGCTCATAACCATATCTATAAACACAGAAAAACCAAACTTTGAAGGCTCATGTTAATGGTTCTGAAAGCATGAGGTGTGCATATGAAACAATGTCTGACCTAAACACCAATTACATGGCAAGTGCATACTTAACGGAGGAGTCTGCTGCTACTATAAAAACATTAAAGTTTTTCTAATTGTAATTCTGTAAAATAATTTTGTAAGTTATTTTAATGGTTCCATTTGTTATTTTACTTTATAAAATTCCCAAGTTTGTAAGCATTCACTCTAAAACGTGTTCTAAAACAGAGGTGCCTTGGCGGCCCAGTCTGTGAAGCACCAGACTCTTGGTTTCGGCTCAGATCAGGATCTCAGTGTCATGAGGCGGTGCTGGGGAGGTGGGCTTTGTGCTCAGCAGGGAGTGGGCTTGAGTTTCTCTCCCTCTGTCCCTCCCCCTGCCCAACCTCACACGCTCTCTAAAATAAATAATTTTTTTTTTTAAAGATTTTATTTATTTATTTGACAGAGAGAGACACAGTGAGAGAGGGAACACAAGCAGG